GCTTAATTTTTGGTTACGAGAGAGAAATTAAAAAACGTCAGAAATAATTGTCGAAGATACAGCAGATGATTTTGAAAACATTGAATTTCAAGTTAGGTTTTGTAAATCTAGCGGAACCTAGCGAATTAAGCTAATTATGCCTAGGAGCACAAAAGTCGTGTTTTACAGAAAATCTCACGGGGTTTTTTCGCAAGATTTGCCTTATAAAGAAAATGGGATAAAGGATCTTAATAAATCTAAATTAAGCGCCAAAAGACAAAGATATAATGTTAATTAACCAACGTAAATTCACAATCAAAACAAGCATGGCTGACCCCGAATCCCTACGAGATTTTTGATCCCCAAAAGTTCCAATTGACCCAAAGAGGCCATTTTCACAACGAGGACCAAGAAAATCCTTTGAAAAATCGAAGTGGGTAAGAAAAAGTCGTGGGGGAGGGGATGTTTTTGTTTGTGGGTGGTGCCCCTCGCGCCGATGCGCGGCGAGCTGGTCGAGGATGGGTTGCTGGACAACAGCACACCACCACATCAACAGGGAAAAGAACAAGAAGTAGTAGTGGTGGTGAGGGTCGTAAATAATCTGCGAACGGGCCGCCGTGTAGTGAGTAGTACTACGGAATACGAGCGATACGAGCGATGGGAAATCCCAGCCAAAAAGTTTGAGGGCACCAGGAAATTAGGGGCAAAAAGGGCGCCACTGGCAGCTGTGTTTTGGGTATTGAACCGGAAAGTACAGCTTGAAGACGTTGGAAAAAGCGCAGAAATGCTCAAAAATCAGGAAAACTGTAAAAATTAGCATTGCTAGAAGATTTCATAAGCTTTATAAGGTTTATAGGAGAAACGAAGCAATAGAATAGAGAAAAAACTCCATTTGGCCCTCTAATACTCTGAAAACGCTACGATACACTCCAAAAAACGGAGTTCGATTTCCCAGTCAGTTTCGCATGAAGTACATAGAGAAAATCGATAAGATTTGCATAAAATTCCGGCAATGAACGCCCGGAAAAACGATTCAGTTTTCAGGGAAAAAATGGCAAAAAGAAAATATGCCAGAATTAAGGTCAATCAAAGTGTGCTATAGTTTCGTAGTCATCAGATGCCTTTGTTAATGAGGGACTCAATCTCGACAGCATCTTATTAATGCAAATCAACACGCGAATTACTAGACTACCACCTGCTTTGGCAGGTGTTTTCCCAAAGAACGGCGCGCGCACTTTCAAACTTCCGGGCGTTCAGAGATATCTTAACGTTGTTGTGATGAGTTAAGAGCTACGATCAAGGCTAAGAAAACCTACATCCAATCAATAATTGTTGCCAGATACCGAGGGCGCGGCTACTTAGGCGCCATCCTAATTGCCGCCCTTGCGCCTCAAAAATTTGCCGAATGCCGATAAGGGGTGTGGCGCCGGAGGGGGCGGGTGGAAAATTGATAACCAGGCTGGAGTAGCCGGGTAGTACATCCAGTGGAAGGTGGAAATTAGTGGAATTTATGGGGAAAAAGTAAGTAATAATTGGGATTTGTTAATAGGTTAGAAAGTTATAGGAATCTATCAAAATCGCACATCGAAAAAGTGTCATTTCAGCTTCAGCTAACCGCCTGGCGCTCCATAAAACTAGAACTAGGAAAACAAGCTTGAATCTTGCCAGGGTATAGAAATTTCATAAGGATCGCTCGACTTCGCAAGAAAAGGGCTTACGCCACGAAATTATGCCCTGGAAATGGAGGAGCCGGAGGGGAGGGGAGGAGGTCAAAATCGCCCAAAAAAAGTGCCAAACGGCACAGAAACGAACGAAAACCCGCATTAAAAACTGCGAAAAAGAGCATAAAGTTATTTATACAGAAAACGAGGCACTAAGTATCGAAAACGCTCAAAAACGGCATGAAAACTGCCCAAAACCTGGCAAAAACTCGACGAAACAAACAGGAAAGTATCGCAGGGTCAACGAAAGAGAAGAGCCGAGAATTTAACATGAAATAAATCAGTTAACGGTCGGGAAAAGATCCCTTGAAAACGGTTGGCTTCGAGAAGGTATAGGAAACTCTCAAAATGGCATCATTAATTCCCAGAATACCAAGAGAAATCGAGACGAATCAAGTCAGAAAGTAACGCGGGATTAACAAAAGAGAGAGTCGGGAATTTAGCATGAAATAAATCAGTTAACGGTATGAAAAACATACGTTAAAAGGGTAAATTTCACAAAAGGATACACGTCCTGAATCCAAAATCATCATGCTCACAAAAATCCAATTGAAAACCGGAAATACATTTCGAAATGCCACAGCCGAACACATGGGTCACGTGGGCAACGAGTAAGCGTTCACATGAGCGTTTCGTAACACCCCAAAATCATCGCTAAACACCCAGAAAGTGGCGGCTTTTAGGAAAAGAAAGACCGCGAAGACGCAACACCCCACACCGGGCACTTGTCTAGAGCGTTCAAAAAGATAAAGCCGTGTGGAAGAGGAGGGGTCGGTGGTGGTGTGTGTTCCCCCTGGAGGGACCCCGGCCACGAGGAGAGGACACACCGACACACGGCATCCAAAACAGACAGACATACACCGTCGTCTCCGAGGCGGGCACACACACTATCCAGCCAGAAGGGGGACCGCGACGCGAGGGGTGGGGCGAGGCGTGTATGCTGCATCTACGCGCACAGACACGGGAAGGGGGCGATGGGGGACACGAGGGTTGGGGACAGGCATGCAGGGATTTGGGAGAGAGAGAGAGAGAGAGAGAGACGCAGAGCCAGGCCAGTGGAATACCGGGGAAAGGGATGAGGGAGTGCCAATGGGGGAGAGGTGAAAGAGAAGTGATAGTGAAATGCCGGGACAGAGACGAGGGTGTGGGACGAAGGGAGAGAGAGAGAGATGGGGAGAGAGCGAGAGAGAGGCGCAGAGACAGGCTAGTTGGGAACCGACAGCGGTGAGAGAGAGGGAGAGCATTACGGAGCAAGAGACATAGAGAAACACTGGGGGAGAGAGAGAAAGAGAGAGAGTGGGAAAGAGCGACTGGGAGAGAGACGGGAGACACAGTCTAGGAGCACAGGGAAAGAAGGGAGAGAGTGTGACGGAGCAGGAGAGGCAGAGAAATTCTAGGAGAACATGAAAAGGAGCAAGAGAGCGCGATTGAGCTGGAGACACAGAGAAAGGCCGGTGCAGCACGAGCAAAAGAGAGACGTACTGCGATTGGGAGAGAGACGCAGCTTCAGGACTGTTAAGCGGAAAAGACACAGCTTCAGGAGAGAGAGAGGGAGAGCGAGAGAGAGAGAGAGAGAGAGAGAGAGAGCCAGACCCACAGAAAGTACTGTCAAGCGAGAGAACACGCCAGAACGAGAGAGCCAGAGATACAGACACACCCCCGATCGGCTCCCGTCTCGCCCAAGTTCGGGGGGACCGGGGGAGGAACGGACAACCCCGGGCCCGGGCGAGGAAAGAGGCTACGTGCTGTTCTGGAAGCGATGATCGGGGAAAGGGGAATCGGAAAGAGACGAAGAGATGTACAGGACGAGGCGGCCGACGTGGACATGGCCACATCCACAATTTTGACTGGGAAGCGGAGAGGTATTGAGCTTGGAGAGTTCAAGAGCAATTTTTTCCGGTGCAGAATTTCGAGCTCTATCTCCGAATCCGATGCGAAAAAAGAGCTAAGTAGCGAGTTGTCGGAACTAAACCTTAAATTTTTTTGGTGGTTTATTAATTGGTTTTGGGTTTTTAGAGTTGGTTAAGCCTTAATAATGAAAATCAAAATGGTAACACGAAAGCCAGAAAAGCCCTAGGTAAAAGGCATAGAAACTATGCCTTAAAATATGGTTTTCCAAAGCGAGGATCTTCGATTTTCAAAGCTATGTAACTTCAGATTCGACTGTGTAATACTGTAACACATTTTTGACCGGAAACTGTACAAAAATATGCCCAAACCCGCTGCCAAGTCCGGGACATCCCCGGCTCCCACGCCTGGCTGCCCTAGACCGTCTAAGGCCCATAAAATACCGGATTGCCGGACAGTTTTACAGCCCTCCCCCGACAGCCCGCCGGCCGGGTCCACCGGCTGAACAAAGACAACGGTAGGTGCGGGGGGCACGGGGAAAAGTCTCAAAAACGGGCTAAAAGAGCCCGCCGCTACCGGCCATCGCCCCGGCTCGCCCCGGTGGCTTTTGGCGCGAAAAGTTGCCAACGAGAGAAGCTGGCAGCCGGGGGAGGGGGAACAAGTTGTTTTTTTCAGGGTTAAGGGACGATACGGCTAAATGATCGTGAAAATTGGAACGGGGCTTCGGAAAACGGCTTCTGCCAGGTGGTGATTATCTAACTTAAGATTTTCTGATTGTCTATCAAAGGCCATGGTAATTGGATGAAGTTACCGTATCCATCTTAGTATCCCAAGGTACCGAAAAAATACAGCTGTTGCTCCAAAAACAGCTTTTCAACCTTCTTTCAAAAAAATATTAAAATTCCCGAAAGATAGCGAAACTATTTAATTTATAGTAAATTTTTCCTTCCGAAAGACCCCAACGTCTTCAAGGAGTATCTCAAACATAGAGCGTTGAATTCAGTAAATTACCTTTTTTCCGCTCTTGGAAATCGACATACTTTATAGGTTTTTTTAGAGGGACTACTAGTTCTTTTTTTCTAGCCATCGCTCTCTCTCTCTCTCGCTCTTTCTCTCTCTCATTCGAACGGCCCTACGCCCCTGTAGATCCCATTTTATGCTGGGATTTACCCCGTTTTTATGCGGAACGTCTGACGTGTAAACGATATTTCCAGATACACAATTTATTCCGATACGTCAATACGCACAGACCCGTAGCGGTAAACATTTTTTGGGAATTGGAAAACGGGTGAAAATCGTGGGGGGGGGAATACAGAAGCACCGATTTACCAAAAAATGCGAATTCAGGAGATCATCAAGTGACAACGGGTCTATAGGAGTTTCCGATGGGAAGGAAGGATTTTTAAGTCTTAATCTAAAACCATAAATTGAGATAAGGAAAGGTATGAATTAATGTACATAGCCACCCAGGAGCATGGCTAACTCCCGACGTTGCTTTTTGTCGAGACCCAGTGGGGATAGGACCTCTTCATCACCTAAAACGTAGCTTTTAATGTACTATTTTACTTAAAAATGCTTTAATAAGAGCTTGGATAAATTTAAAAAGAAATTATTCGCAAAGTAGAAGCATATTTGGACGTACCCTGCATTTTTATCAGTTCCGAGTGGACGAGGATCGATTGGAAACTTTTCCTCTTATTCTCATTTTCGTCTTCCTCGACGACTTTGTACTAAAAAATAGTATATTTGCACTAATCCCACGATCAAAATATACGTTTTCAAAAGACGGTAGCTCGAACCGCTTGGTGTTGTCGTTATACCCGAGCTTTTCCATGCAGCGGTGAAAGAGGAACACGACGATTAGCTGAAAACCAAGATTGTAGTACGCATTTTACCGTATTTTTATGATTTGTTTTTTTACAAAAATTAACATACCAACACTCCAAAAGTGGCTAAAAATCCAAGCAGCACAAAGAGCAACTGCTTGAACGAGATCGAGTGCTTGCTGTCAAAGTCGAAGCTGCTGAACGATTCGGCCTAGAAAATGTAGAATTTCCAGTGTTTTATTCACGAATTCAGGCTTTAAAATTCCGACAAGCTCCAACTTACAACAAATTCCTGTATGGCAACGGTCTGCTGGACGAGGAGGACAATAAAAATTAACTGGGCCGTCCGCCCCATACCATTTGCTGGCGACGCCAATATTGAGGGGCTAAAAATGGCAGATATGGAAAACGGGTTTACGAACCAAAAAATGAACAAAACCAAGAAAATATTTGATTTTTCTGCAAAAAAAAATTATTTGCTAAAAATGGCGCAAATGGGGGTTTTTTAAAACGTTAAAAAACGTTAAAACGCTAATCACATGGTTGGATTTAAAATGATCAAATTCGGCAGGCGAACTAGCAGAAGTCCTTTGAAAAATCTAAAACTGTTTCTGACGAGCGAGCAGACAGAAAAGAGTACGGTAAAATGTAAGGAGTACAGGACTGGAATCAATCATAGGAAAATAAAAAACAAATTTATTTTAATTGTTGCAAGTTAATACTAAGCAGCGTAAAAGTAACTGTTTTATTAGCGCCCTTACTAAAATTTGATGTATATTCCTTGAGGAAGAACTATGTAAAACTTACAAATTATTGAAATCCTGGTAAAAATCACCGATTTTTGGCTAAAACCCATTTTTTAATGTCAGTATTTTCCGTAAAAAAATTTGTAGGATTTACGCTTAGGAATAGAAAAAAATAGCTTACAAAACAGTTCCTCTATTTATATGCATAAGAAAAATTGGAAAGTTATAAGCAAAAAATCGGCCCTTCTCTGAGATATCCCCCCCTTCCGATAATGCGAAACCACGAAATTTGTACAAACGAACTAAAGCCAAATGGTTCGCGGATAATGCTAAAATTAAGAAATTTAACAGCTTAACATTTTTAACATAATCAAAACTATAGTAAAACCATGACTAACCCCAATCGATCCCCAGGACCCAAAATTGTGACGGGGATATGGGCGTTTACCCCCAGTACGTCGGGTTAAGATACCGATTTGTCCTCGCCGGCCAGTCGAAATTGGAAAAGACGGGGTTGCGGATAAGAATTTTGTCGGAGGGGTGGAGGATAAGATGGATGAGAGAACATGTGATTTCACCCTTTTCCACTCCACCTAACAACCCACAGTAAATTGCACAAGGGGGCAAGAAGAGGTCGACTCACTGATGCCATGTTTTTCCGGTCGGGCCTTTCAAGGATTTTCGCCGGAACAGGGTTCTCGTTGCAAGTAGAAAGCTTGGGGTTCAAAAATGGATTTCCCATAAAAATGGTTAAAAAGCGCGAGAAATAAGTTTTCTGATTCCAAAAAAAGACTTCTTCTATAAATTCTCTAAACCTCCACTTTTATAAACGAGTAATTTGCAAAGAAAAACGCGTAAAAAGAGGGTTTTCGCACTTTTACGGTTTGTAGTCTGCCTTAAAGGGGTTAAAAATTCATGAATTTCGCTTTACAGTCATGAAGACTTAGAATTGTACTAGTAGCTTACACGGAAAAATACCGAAAGCAAAGTACTTTTGTAGTTTGTATTCTGATTCAAAAAGTCCAAAATTGAATAAACCTTACATAAAAAATTAAACACCCAATAACCATAAAAACCGTAAAAAGTCTTTAAAAAGGTTTTCATAATTTTCGTATTTCCTAGCTTGTAGTTTGTAGTTTAGCGTTTCTATAACTGCACTTTCATTTAGCCAATTTTTGTATTCCATAGCGATTTATTCGATTTTTCCGATTTAATTATATTTTTATCATAACTGTTCATAGTCAGAAAATCACGTTTTTCCTATTTTCGAGCTATTTTAAGGCGATTTCGCGGTTCTGGTCTTTTTAGCTTTTTCTCTCTCCCGATAATAGATATTACTTCGCAACACCAACAGCTAAAAAATTCATGCGCCCCGACATCAATAATAATTGCCCAAATCAGCTGAGCGTCTCTAGCAACGGGGAAAAACCAGCAAAAAGTAGCCTGGACGAGTCACGCGATGAGGACGAGGTGCGATCATAGCTTGGGGGTATGTTTGAGCAAACGAATCGAGGGATGTCTATGGCCTGAGGGCATGTTAAAGACAACTAGGTCGCGCAACGGCGACAAGTTTGGACCGTAATGGCCAAAAAGGCCAGTAATACCTAGAATTATCTGGCAAAAGGTCAGTTAAGATTTTACAATTGATAAAACAAGCTAGCTAAATATGCAAGTTGGGGTGAGAAAGACATCAAGGTATAAAGACAGTACGGACCAAAACGTTTTCTCAAAATGTGATATTTTGTACGTACTGATCGACCGGGGAAAAAGTTTTACGGCCTCCCGAGAGCCTACTCGCCAATCCATGGAACGGTCAGAAAATGACCCCAAAAGTGGATCGCAGCTACGAGATGATGGTGAGAAAAAGACGCAGAACAAAAGAGTGAAAAAGTCTGCACTAAAATATGGAATCATTTAAAATCACGACATCGGAAAGTTGGAGACTAGCTAGCTAAACTAGCTATTCTTACTGACATCTATTGGATTCGAAATTTAATATTTTTTTTAATTCAAGGGGAAAAGAAAAGACATATGAAGATCTTTACAAATTTGTTTCAAAAAAACATCAAAAATTCGATTCAAACAACGACATTCAACGATCCATTCAACGACATTCAAAATTCAAAACTCCTGCAAATTTTAAAACTTTCTAATTTTTAGGTAATTTGTGTGCATTAAAATTGTTCAATTTTATCGAAAACCCAAGGAAAACCCATAAAACATCTGTTATTAAGTTGCTAGTAATTTCCATATTTAGAGGGAAAAATCCATTCCCCCCGTCGAGAATCCAAAATAACAAAAAATCAATATCAGGGAATTCTATGAACTAAACAAGCACTATAAAACGGTCCTAATAAATATCGGGCACGAGATTCTTACCAAATCCAAAAAAATTTAGCATTTTCTCGATTTTTCTAATCGGAGAGGCCGAAAAGTAGTGTGTCAGGTCAAAACCCGGAGAGCTGAATGGTGGAAACCGGATGATCAACACCCGGGCGCGGGAAAAGAGCAGCGGCCAAAAAATGCGGAGCGCAAAATGATAGTAGTGCTCCCGGTGGGGGAGAATGATTGAGCCCCCGATCCGATATAGCCGTTGCCCCAATCAATCACCAAACTTCTTTGGCGGTCGGATGTGGGCATACGATCGACGACGGCTCGAAAAACGATCTGTCACAATTTCCGATTGGGTTGGGAAAACAATGCAATATATCAAGGGTATTTACAATTTGAGCGCAGCGATAGTGCGTGGTAAACGCGGAACATGCGCGTCGCGTGCACCCGGCAACAGGCGAGATACGCAACGCGACCGGACGGCGCGCGATAAACCCGAGCGTGCGCGTTGCGTTTCGCGGAAATGGGGCAATACACGCGAGAATGGGCGAAAACGTTCTAACGAAAAAAACTGACTAGATTCTGGTAGAGCCAATGCACGGTATACTGCTACTTTTTCAAGCCACGCGCTAGCAGAGATTCTTGAGGACCCAGGACTAGAAAAATATACTTAAAACGGCCATCATACACATTCATCCAAATCGATAAGTTGAGAGATGACATCCCGCCCGGTTGTATAGATGAAAACGGGACGAGTGGCAATTCTCTCATCTAGGTCTCATGAGATCGACCAGAGATAAAAATGTCAAAAAGTTAGGATGAAGAATGATTATAGCGCTCGAGACAATCCTGTACCCACTGGCGGGCAATGTTTTCCGGCGTTTTGATGCGCGATGACGTCCGGGGAGCAAGGACGGGTATGATATGGGGTGCGAAAGGAGGACGAGTGGATGAGTTCCAACATTAGTCATTAGAAAACGTCATTAGAAGCGGGTTTTAGAGAAAAAAGTAAGCTGATTTACGCTAGCGGTAAAACGCGCAAATTTTATAGCATAGAAGGACGAGGGCGCGCTAGAAGGTTCGTCCCTCGAAAACGTCATCAAAAGCGAGTTTTAACTCGGAACAGGCTAAAATTTAATTCAGCCTCTGCTCAAACTCTAGAATTAGGACTAGATAAATTTATGACGATTTTCAGGGATCACAAAAACGCAAGAACGCACTGACCCAAAATGCTATAACTAAATTAATGGTGCTAATGCACCTGGGGGGGCAGTTCGAATTTTTACTACAAGATGCTCCAAATGCCGTTTTTTAAACTCGAAGCCTCCGGAAAAGCTAAGCTAAGCCTAAGCTTAGGTTTAGCTTCATACAAACGAAGCCTGGGCTTAGCTTGAGCGAAGCTTAGCTTAGCTCTAAGCTACCCCCTACCACATTTTGGCCTCGAAAGGCAATTTGAAGGTCAAGATAAGCTTAGCTTGGGCTTAAGCTTAAGCTAAGCCTAAGCCAGGCATAGTTAAACCTAAGTCAAGCCTAAGCTTAAGCTGAAACCAAGTATCTTAAATTAATTTAGAAAAGGAAACCGAAAGAATTTTGCGAGCTATCTGAATTTCTGGTAAATTTCCAGAGATCACAAAGTCCGCAGCAGGGCGCGCAACGATCTGCTAAAACCGCCCGAAAATGTTCATTGTCCGCGTCGTTCCGCGCATTCCCCAAATTCCCCCCATCAATCATCGGCTTGTCGCCGACAAATCGGAGCGCGTTTTCGACTTACAAGGATACCTCCCCAGCTCGAAGTTCAACTTCGGTTAGCTAGATAGCGTATCAGATGCAGTTTTTCGCGCTGATCACGATACCGATATTTATTTTTGCCCAAATCCATAGGAACACTATGAAAAATCATTTGAAACATTGTGCATTTTTGCCTGGCTGGGCGTGATCCGCCTCACGCGCTTCAAAGCCTCTTTCCAGAGGGAGGCATCCATCGGTGGCATGGTGTAGTCGGCAAGTGGTTGGTCTACCAATCTAGGGGCCACTAGTTCGAGTCCTGCAGCTGACGACTTTTTTGCTTTTTGGATAAAAATTGCTGTGAAGGCCATATGGACGCTCAGTAACAAGACTTCTAGTTCTTTTTGGCCCATTTGTCACCAATTGAAGTATTTTTGGCAACAACATTGCATGATTGACATGATGATTGACACCTCGATAATTCGAAATTTCGTTCACCAGAAAGAGTAAAACTGAACGTAAAATCGCAAGCGAACCGACAAACCAATGCAAAACCGATAAAAATCTTATTACTGGGAGTCCATATGGCCTTCACAGCAATTTTTATCCAAAAAGCAAAAAAGTCGTCAGCTGCAAGACTCGAACTAGTGACCCCAAGCTTGGACCAAGACCAAGACTTGCCGACTACACCATGCCACCGATGGATGCCTCCCTCTGGAAAGGGGCTTTGAAGCGCGTGAGGCGGATCACGCCCAGCCAGGCAAAAAATGCACAATGTTTCAAATGATTTTTCATGGTGTTCCTATGGATTTGGGCAAAAATAAATATCGGTATCGTGATCAGCGCGAAAAACTGCATCTGATACGCTATCTAGCTAACCGAAGTTGAACTTCGAGCTGGGGAGGTATCCTTGTTAGGCAGATTGGGCAGTGATGAAATCATAACTGTCCATTCTGATCCCTAGCGCTTAAAGAATTGAGTCTGAAACCGCACAAAATATCGAAAAGGTAAAAATTTGCTCCCCGCCCTCGTTGAACCACAAAAAGAAACGGATACACAGATCCGAGGGATCACTTTCTGATATCTCCGGTTATCGCAAAATTTATGGGAGCAATTAGCCGGGGAGACCGAGATCCGAGGAGCACGTGATCGTCTGTGTGTTTTTTGGAGCAGAAAATTTTGGTCTAAACGAGTAGCAAATTAGACGGAAACCCTAAAGATCGACTAAAACATAGTTTTGTTCCGGGGATCTAATTTTTTTAATATAGATGGAGGTGTTTTTAAACAGCTTTTTACTATTTCTAAACGCAAAAACTGCAACTTCTCAATAAAAGCTTTAGAAAAATACCGAATTCCACCAAACATGGCCGAATTTCGATAAAAATTCCAACAAAAACCTTTTTGTTTTTCACTAGAGAAATCATTGAATTTTGCTAAGAACACTATTAAACGTACTACGTACTATTACGCTACAAAACATTTCTGGACACATAGAAAACAAATGCCCCATCGATAATGCAAAAGAACCTATTTTTCATGCCGTTACCGTATCTAAAATTCCACATTTCATAACTAAAGTACCAATGAAGCTAGTCGGTACCTTTTCATCAAAGAAAAGCGAGCCGTATGCATTTTTCTACTTCACAATTCTTTATTGAACGGTGTAAACTTTGCATGGCAGTGAGGATAATTTAAAGAGATAGGGGCGGCATAAGTCAATCGATTACGCGCGGGAAAGAAAATGTCTCTGCGCCTCGCCTCTGGGCGCCCTCTCTCGCCGCCGGTCGCGCTGGGACCTGTTGAACCCCCCCTCCCCAGAGGGGGTTCAACAGATGCCGTCCTCATCTCTTTAAGAATCATCCGATTCTAAAGCTCAAAAAATTTCGGATTGAGGTTCAAAACCCTGAAGGACATGCACAACTCTCGGCGGTGGATTTCAATGGCATTATGGACTGGAATTATTAGTTGTAATGCTCATCATGGCACCCAACAACAAAGACAACAAAGAGGAATTGATATGCAACGGAATGGAGGGCAAAGGTATGGCGAGAAAAGTGTGAATTTAGTGGCGCGTGCTGGGGACATTGGCGCCGGGCTTCAACCGCAGCCGAATGATGAAGCGGAGACGGGCCTGGTCCGTCTTGGGCACGACGTAACTAAAAAAAGCTCTTGAAGTGGCTAAAACGGACGGAAATATAATAAGTGTTTTAATAGGTTCTATAGTAAAATTTGACTATGTTTAAAATAGGAAAACAAACAAAAACAACTTCGAAAACCATTGTAAACGGAATTTGCTCGAAAAGGGGACTTTTCATCGAAAAATCGATTTATTTTTTGGCAGGTTTAGTAATTTGGTATTTTTTCGTAAAAATTTAGCTTTTGTTAAAGTGAAAACCCAACCTACATAACAGAAAAATATAGTCGAAAATTCGTCCGAAAATCGGCCATTTTAGTTGAAAACTATCTTTTTTTTGTAACTTTCAATAAAAGTTTGCAAAGTTACGCTTGGGAAAAAATCGTTTACAAACACGTCCTTGTTTTATATTAGAAAATTTGCATCATCAGAAAAAGTTGCTCCCTCCGATACTGCGTAAGAACTCGCTTTAAAACGTCACAAAAAGCATGGACGCCTTTATAAACTAGTTCCTCTAATAAAACGTGCAAACTTACAAATTCTGGCGCAGCGGCTTTTCTGTCGTTGAAGTGCGGTCGACGTGGGGGCTCAGCGGAACGCCGTATCCATCGGGATGGGGCACAAAGCTCGCAGGATCCTCGATTGTATGCTTGTCGCCGAAACCCACTAAAATTGACGCATAAAAAGGAAATCATACGCAATAAAAATTAAGATGCGTACTAAATAGTGCTGATATTTTTCAAGTAACTCGAAAAAAGATTAACAAGATGAATTAAAATCCGAAAAAAAAATTATAGTAGATTTTTATTGAGAAAAGAAAAATTGTTCGAAAGCTGCTATGGGTTCAGCACATAGAAACCGTTGGAATAGCTGAATTTCGCGATTTCCAAATTTTTGAAAAAGACCAACCGATAGAACGTCAAGAAATATACTAATCTAATGAATTTCAGCCAGAAAAACATGTAATTTAGAAGTTTTATTGCCCTAATTTTGTTGCGGAAAGTTTACCTATTGTCATTTTCTTTATAAAGTATCCTAGTAAGTCTATTGCTCAAGTAAGAGCTGAACGAATCAAGAAAACTGACCAAACGTCGAATTCCATGATGACTTTCCGGAATCCGAGTGGTAGCCGCCGCCAGTGTGGAAGTTCCGGCTCTAAAATGATCCGAAATCTTTCCAAAATTCCAAAAATCACGTACCTTTCCCAGCGCCACCTCGCACAACAAAATCAGCGGCTCCTCATCCGCTTTCACCCGGCAATAGCCCATCGACACGTTGAAGTTGTCAGAGAAGTAGAGGCCGCGGCCATAGGCTTGACCGGTCTAAAACAACTTTGAAAAAATTCAGTGTTCTACGCACGATGTACGCCGCTTCCTTGGGAGCAATCCTGAGGCCTTGTGTGAAGATTCCGCAGTAGTTGACGACGTTCGAGCCGTGCCAGAGTAATGTTCGGTTAGGCAAATCTTTCCGGAACGCCGCATCTTCGCCGCCGCGTCGAAGCGAGAATGCCTAAAATTATTTCGTTGATTTGGAAAATTCTCAGAATCATTTTTAAAACAAATTCGCTTATTTTCGGTTCTTTGGCATTAGCGGGGGTGGGGCAAAACGTTTAATAGGCAAAGTCCAGAAATGCAGAGTAACGTATTGCGTAGTAAGTGTTTTAATATTGCTTGTAGCAAAATGCAACGATATTTCAAGTTGAAAAGAATACAAAAAACTTAGGAAAATTTTTCGTTGAAACTTTGGTCGAAAAATCTATATTTATGACATTTTTCATACAATTCTATAACGTTTTTACGTCCAGGAATATTAAAAACGGTTCTACTTCATTCCTTATTAGAAAAATTCGATAATAAGAAAAAAGTTGCCCCCCCCCGATAATGCCAAAGGACCACAGCTAACAACAACTAAGAATTACGGGAACCTTACCGCCGCAACATCATAACATCTGAAGTCGCCATACTGCGAGTTGCCCGACTCCAAAATGTAGCGCTCGATCATCTTGAAATCATCCTCCTCCCGTTGGAGTGGCTAAACAATGTTTAATTGATTTTTGAAATTTTTCCTCTACCACAATATCACACTTGATATGGTCGTAGAGTTGGTCTAGAATATGCCGTGGTTCCTTGCTGCCGTGTTTATCCATCATCTGCTCGATTTCGGCCAACTCGATCAGCTCGCCGAGTTGCTCAATTTTTTTCTAAATTTAAAGTTTGTGAAAAATTGGCATGATTACATCGATCAGCTCCTCGGTGTCGAGAGGCGCCCGTTCGTGATGCGGGATTAGTTCGTAAAACGCGATCGTGCTTCTCTCCAATCTTGCCAATCGCTCGTCGGTCTTTGCTTGGGTGGCCGCCTAAAATCATTGTTTTCTGCATAAAAAAGTAGTGATATAGGCACATTTCTGCTTCCGGGGAGACCCTAATCCTTCCAAGTGTCCAGTTATGAAGTTCTTAGCAAGTATTTTAATCAACTTTTCAGTAAAAATTCGCTATATCCTGAGTGGATAAACGACGCAAAAAAATAAAAACTAGCAAAAATCAGACATTTTGGATGACATTCATGAGTTTTTCGTGAAGTTTTTATGCCCTAGAAATAGAGAAAAAAACCAGTTTTGTCACTCACTCATCCAATTCATGTTAAAACGGCTACAAGAACCTCTAAAACTGATAGTAAAATTATCATAGCCACTATAAATACTTAAAATTTTGGCGGGAACTCTATATTTTTGTCTCTTTTAAACACTATTAAACGTTATTAAAATCCAAGAAACTACTCACATCCCGAATTCTGTCCAACGCCTCGTATGCTCGTTCAATGCGGCGCATCAGGTTGCCGGTGCCCGTAATTTTCTCGGCGTCGATCTAGAAAATGCTCATGCTATATTCAAAAAAATTAAACAATCTTACGTGAAATTCCAGCATGCGCTCCTTCAAAAAGTTCTCGTTGAACACCATGGCTATCAAATCGGCCACCGGGGCACGAAGTTTACAGCGAGCATCGTTGCGCTTAAAATTAATAATCAATTGTTTTTTTATAAATACACTAACCAGCACATTCCGTCCCTCGACCTGATACGTTATTTCCTTCATGGCGTGGGCGCGGCGCGGGACTCGTGAAGGTGGGCTTGAAAGTGGTAGATGAAGAGGCGCGTGAATACACAGGAGGGGCAGATGGTGTGGAAAATTTTCGCCCTTGTCTTCCCGGGTCTCTACGTCAATCGGAGCGCCGCGTAGCCCCCGCTTACGCCAGGTAATCAATCGAAACTTTTAAACCGCACTAACATACCGTAACTTGTTTCGGCTTTTTTTAAATCAGTAGTTTTTATTGCGATTTATTGCTGCCAAAACCAGAAGTTTTTCATTGCAAACTTCGTTTTATCCTTAAAAAATGGAGGTTAAAAATAGGGCCAAAACTCATAGGATAGACCTTAATTAGTAATTAATAATTACGTAGAGGTTTCCTTTAGTTTTCTTCTAATCAAAAGGGGAAGTGTTTTTCAATCCCGTATTGCTTGAATAGCACGGGGTATATCCTTATAGTTTTATTTTCACTCGTAGAAAGTGGATTGTAAGAATATCGTTAAAAATGCTTAGTTATTTACTATACTCTGCCATACCCCCAGGGGGTATACCCCCATGGGGTACAAAGGACAGGTGGGGGTACAAAGGGGTACAGGGTGGGGTACTAAGGTACCCCCACCCCTACCCCACCCCCACACCCAACAGATTCCAGTGACCTCCACACATACACATAGCGTTGGCTTGCAAAAAATTCAAGAAGAAATGACAAAGTCCGCCGGAATTTCACCAAGGCGGTTAATAAAATACGAAACTTGAACTATACATTAAAATTGTGATTTTTTTCCAGTTAAAATGTCTATGTCTGAATTTTACTAAAAACATTATTGAAATTCTTACCATAAAGTTGCCAGGGGTTTCTGGGTTTATTTCAAAAAGATTAGTCCCCCGATAAACTTTCAATTAAAAAAATGTTTAGTTCAAATTAGGTATTTTATTAACTGCCTTGATACAATTCCAGCTGACTTCGTCTTTTCTTGTTGTATTTTCCGAGCCACCGACATGGGAGTGTGGGAGGTCGCTAGAAAAATTTGCTGGGGGCTACTGGGGTACATTGTACCCCACCCGTACCCTTTAGTACCCCCACCCCGTACTCCCTTTGTACCCCCACCTCGTACCCCTTTTGTACTCCCAAGGGGGGTATACCCCCTGGGGGTATGGCAGAGTATATTATTTACCTAAAATACCCTAATTTCTGAATTGATTTCATCAGAGTAAAGGTGAGAACCACCTGAATTTCCTATTTTGAAAGTCATAGGGCATGATCAACTAATAATTTTGTTTTATCGCTAACAAAAAAACGGGGGAAGAATTCTGCTACAAAATCAGCTTAATTCAAGTAAAAAGTGTGCCAAAATTAAAGGGCTGCCGACGGTATGTGTCGATCCCCTCAACAAATTGGCAAGTAGCCAACAGGGAGGGCGCGCCCAGGGAGAGCGCAGGACATTTTCTTTCCCGCGCGTAATCGATTGCATTATGCCGCCCCTATCCCTTTAACGAAATAATCGCTTCGAAGGCGAAAGAGCCATTTTCGTTTCAACCCAGCAATTTTCTGGCGCAACAAATAACGGGCTCTTTTATGACGTGCGCGAGAAGGCGCTTGTGAGTTTCGAAACTCCATTCCCCGCTCAGCGCCAGCAACGTAAACAAAAGCGGAAGCTTGGCTAAAACAGTTTCTGGGGATCAAAAAAACGATTTTAAGATAACGGGAAGGATCCCGAAAGCAAAAATGTCTCTCCGGTGATTCATTAATGCATTCCTGGTCCTTCTTTTGACACAAACAATCGATGGCCGCTGGCTTTTTTAGGCAAAGACATCACCCCTTTAGTCGTATTAGTAAAATCCTACCTTATATAATTTGGTCGCGTATCTTGTCTGTGTGTGTGTGTGCGGAGGTCAGTTTCGAGGCCGTGAGGCCCTTCCCGTCTCCAAAATGCCCCAATTCTTCGTCACTAGGGGGAATCGACCCTCCTCTTTCCGATGACGTTTTCAGAATCCCGATAAAATACAAGTTTACAAAGTTAAAGCCGGTTTTATTCATTTTTGGGGGTCCAGGAGGGCCAATTTGCATAGTGAAAAAATACAAATTACTCATTCTGCAGTTGACTCGCGGGTTGGTCGGGGGGGGGAGGGGTCCCAGGACTGGGCTATCGAAAGTCAAATTTTTCATCAAGGCCGCATTCCAGCGCCCAAGGCCCGCGAAGCGGGTTTTGGGCGCTGGTAGATAAAATAAGATAAAATCAGATCTTTAAATCTGAGCTTACTAATATTTGGCACTTTCTTACAAGGTTTGACCTGAAAATAATGTTTTGCGACATTGCAGCGCTCCATTTTCTGCATTGTCATTATTTCAGGCCGCTTCCAAGTCCTGATTTCTATCCGAAAAACCCCATTGGATTTTTTCAAGGCGAATTTTAGCGCTTTCTAACAAGAATATTATCGTTTTTTTTTCAGGCCGTTCCCGGCATGAATGCGGTCATCCCGTTCAGCGGCGAGGGACGGAAACTAGTGCGTTTTCATTTTATAAAACAACTTTTCTAATTTAGACCAATGATACTCGCTGTAAACTCCGGGCCCCGGTCGCCGAGTTGATCGCCAAGGTTTTCAACGAGGACTTTTTGCGGGACCGCATGAAGGAATTGAGGGTAAGCCCAGGTTTTAGCGCTTAAAAACTTAGTTTAGATAGACCCAGACAAAATTAACGGCACTCACACGATCATGGGGCGCATTGAGCGGGCGTTTGAGGTGCTGGACCTGATTCGGGATGTGGGTTGAAGGTTGCATTTTTAGTTAGAAGTTTTTAGGCAGTGATCCAGGAACAAACCAAGGAACGCCGAGCCATTTTGGCGAAGAGCATGGCGGCTTTCTATGAACTTATACCGCATCACGATCCGGTTGAGTTGAACACGGAAGAGTTAGTTGAGGTAAGTGTGTCCGTTTTGCTAAGAGACGTTTTGGTGCTAATTTTTGCACGTCACGACGCTTATATTGTGCAGAATTTAGCGCTGATTTCAAATCTGTTTCTAAAAGCAGAAACGACCAGATTGAAACAAATATAAAGCTCGCAAGCGCAAAAAGGCAAAAATTTCGCGCACTGGCTCATTTTGGCCTGTTTTCGCGCTTAGAAGCTTCATAACTATTTAAAACCGGTCGTTCGCCAGATTTTGAAAACAAATTCGGAATCAGCGCTAAATTCTGCACAAAATAGGCTTGGTTCCGCGTAAAAACTCGATTCTCACTAAATACTTCCCGTTTTACTGGTTTTAATAGTTATTATCTTATTTCAGTCTATATATGTTTTAGAAAAAGATCGAACAACTCGGCGAGCTGATCGAACTCGTCGAAATTGAGAAAATGAAGCAAATGCATGGAATATCCGGGCCGCGCCATGTTCTCGACCAGCTCTACGATCACATCAAGTGTGAAATTGTGGTAAGTTAGCGAGTTAAAAAGTTTTCTGATCGAAAGATGCCGTAAAATTCGGGTTTTTCAGCCGCTCGATCGGGAGTGCAGCGACTTCAAGATGATCGAGCGATATATGGATTCGGGAATTCACTGTAATTACAACCTCGTGCATAACTACGAGATTGCTGAGGTGATAGATTTTATCTGCTTTAATTATGCTAAAAATAGTGTCTATAAAAGTAGAATAGCTCTATTAGTCGCACGAGTAGCCTCAAAAATTATATTTCCTTTTAATTTATAGTGATACCTTAATACTCAATTTTTCAGGTATTCTCCCTACGCCGCCTCAGCGAGGATATCTCATTCCGAAAAGATCTCCCAAACCGTACGTTACTCTGGCATGGCTCTCCGGTCGTGAATTACTGCGGGATTTTGACCCAGGGCTTGCGAATCGCGCCGAAAGAAGCGTCATCGATTGTAACTTGTTTCGTTTTTGTAATTTATCATTTTTTTAGACTGGCCAAGCGTTCGGGCGCGGCATCTACTTCTCGGACAACTTCAACGTGTCGTTACACTACTGCCGCGCGTTGTATGAGCAAGAGGCGTTGATTTTGCTGTGCGAGGTGGCGCTGGGAGAGGTGATTTTTGCGTAAACGTAGTTTACTGAATTCTACAAATTTGAGCTGATAGGCTTCATAATAAGCACTGTTTGTATTGACCTACAAAATGCAGTTTACAGCTTGTAGCTTGCAAAATTCTACACTTTCAGTTTTGGAGACTTCACAATAACATATTTTTGAATATCGTGAAGCGTATTGAAACATAGCTTACGTAATTTTACCATTTAATTTATAGACTTGATTATATTCATATTTTTGAGTATCGTCAAGGGTATTACAACGTAGCTTACTAAATTTTATTTGTTGGAATTGATAGACTTCATAATAAGGTTTTTTTAGTGTTGTGAAGGGTCTTGAAACGTAGCTTACTATATTCTACTCTATTAAAAACGTCATTTTGAACATTTTTTAGTGTCGTGAAGGGTTCCGTTCGGGCAACCTCAGCAACGGCAATAATTGGAACTCGACGTGCGGTTAGTCAAAGTCGTATTTTTAAGTATTTTCTGCATTTTTAGTGCGACGCAGCCCGATGAGCGGCGCCCTGGACATTGGCACTGATCCCGAGCATATACAGCATCCGGACGGCTATGTTGTGCCGCTGGGCCAGCCATATCCAGTGAAGCAGATTCGCCAGAATTAGTGAGTTTGCGTCTTATTTTATACGTTTTAAACCGATTTAATAGATTTTCTGAATTTTCGAGTTCTTTTGCATTATCGGGGGATCAAGTTTTTTGTGTATGAATTTAGAAATGTCCAGCAACTTAATAGGAAGCAATTTATTGGTGTGAAAAATATAGCTATATCTCAAGTGGAAAAACGATCAAAAAAATTTAAAAAAGGTTCTTGATTGCAATTTTTGTAAGAAAAACCGCTTATTTTTGGCCTAAATCGATATTTTTATAATTATTAACCAAAATTTGTAAAGTTTTTACGTTTAAAAATAGTAAAAAAGAGCCAAAAAACACTTTCGCTATTTATATTTGAAAAATTGGATTCTCGGAAAAAATTTGCTCCCCCCCCCCCGAGAATGCCAAACAACCGTTATTTCTCTATTTGGGGGATTGTATTTTATGAAAACTAAATTTGATTTAAAATTTGTATCATTAATTACGTTATTCTTTCAGCTTCATCATCCCAAAGACGGACCAGGCCCGACTGCGCTTCGTGGTGAAGGTGCGCGTGAAGCCCGTCGAGCCACCGCCCGGATTCCCGCCCCACCCATCATTACCCCCACGTCATTAAATTATATCCTCATTTATTACCCACTTTTCTTCTCACTGCTCGTTAGATTTCCGGTCTCTATCCTTCGATCCTCATTTCCGCTTCTTATCTGTCAAAACATTCCAAAGATATCCATGACGCACTCATTTGCACTCAGGGACCCTCAGATTTGGTATATTAAGCTTTAACCTTCTTTACGCCATATATTATAATATCTGCCATGCATCCATGCCGGTCTATGCAATGCTTATAATGGGATGTATCTCCAAGATTTATTAAATTTACGGTTTCCAGTTTTTGGAAGTAATAAATTCGTCGTGATTGCTTGCTTATAAATCTTCGCAGTGAAATTTCGGAGCTCGAAAATTTTTTTAGCGTGTTAGCCCATTTGAGGTCCGCCACGTGCTGTTTCCGAACGACATTTGCTGCCTGTTCATCTACCGCGTGGTTGTTGCCTACTTGGTAATTTTGAGGATTTCAGCTTTTCAACCATCCTCACGGTTAAGCCAAAGGAACGGCGTCCCCAACTCCCTCTTGACAAAAACTTTGCCTTCCCACCCAACCATGCCCTCCATCGGCAATTCATCCTGAAAATCGAAAAAGAAGCGGTGTGCCGCCGGGATTTGTCTAGGTGGGCGGCGGGCCAGATTTTGCTGCTCACAAGCTCGCGCGGCGGATGACGGAGGCCGATAACAATGAACCGCCCATCTACCCTCCGGTTGCGTCCACGGGACGGGATCTCGAATAGATTTCTCCGGCAGATCCGGCAGAACCGGGAGCCTCGATTTTTACATACCGGCTTGTTTTGTGCTCTTTGGCGTCTTCTAAATTGCCATGGCAGGCTCAAATTTTGATTTCGGAAGGTTTTCTGATTTTCCATTTTTGACGCGCTAGTCACTATACCACAGGGCCAAGTGGGAAAGGGAGTCAGAAGCGCCCCAAACCCCAGAGGGTCCTTGCCCAATACGGGACGCCACTAATGACGATGCTCTCTGCGCGTTCTTGGGGGCAGCACCCTCGGGGTGACAGTGCGCGTTCCATCGTTCTGGTAGTCTTTAATTAGAAACCGCCAAGACGAATTTCAAAACCAAAAAATGGGGAGGCAAATGAAGCAATTTACAATTTTTGTGGTGTGATATATATTTTTTTAAGTCTTCAAAGCGTACGGCAACAAAAAATCTGGCATGTGTTTTTACATACGGCTCTGAGCGTCCCGTAGCTCTACTATTCGAACCAAACGCCCTATCACCCCTCCACCCCTTTCTAGGGGTTCTGATATTCGGCATTGGGATGACCCAAATCGAGAACGGGTATCCGGCCCCGTTTTCTCTTTCATCTCAATTTCTCCTCATTCCTATGTCTCGCCCCATCCCTAAGACTGTCCCTCCACAATTGTCGCAAAATAATGCGATCGGCTTCTCCAATTCGCCGGGGCTTTGGGGGGAATTTCCCTTTTTCGCGTCCCGGCTGGTCGGAGCCGTTTTTGCGCACTTGCACTTTTTGGACAAGGGTAAAGGATTTAGACAATGTTTTGCCGGTGATTTGGTTATAGTTCAAGCTTGAAAAAATATTTTAAGCTGGCTAATTAGAGGCTCCAGAGACTAGAATCCGCGACTCCCTGAAGCTTCTAAATTCCTAAAAATCGAAGCTAAAGTCTTGATTTCTAAAGTTCTAAAATTCCAAAACCTAGTGCATAAAACAAAAGTTTCAATCATCTGACTTTCAATCATCATAAAGTTACAAAAATTGCTGTCTGAGCTAGCAGAGATCTTTAAGGATTTTACTGAGAAACCCGATTTTTTTCTTTTTTTAAAGTTTTACCCGGGAGTTCGAATTTTGCCTGCCAAGGATGTCCATTAGAGATTCCGCTTTTTAAACTTTCAAAAAACAACTGAAAAACCAGAATTTTTGTTATTTAAGGGATTTACTTAGCAATCCCGATTATGCTAATTAGAGGACACGCTCTATGCGACGAAAAAACTGAACTCTAGCCTTGCGAGATGCGGTATTAAAAGTATTTAGTTTACTGTATGCTTCAAATGAATCCTATTTGCAATATTGTTATATTGTGCTTTCAATCAGCTTTTAATCCTATTTCCTGATATGATTCAAAAAATATAATTTGAAAGTTCAGTGCAAAAACCATCTCTTTAGCATGCGGCTCCTCCTGGGCCTTTTCTGCCTGGGCTCCTCGGCACTAGCCCTAAAGAATGTTTTTGTATCGTCACCTTTTGACAATTTCCGGATAGAGTGTCCAAAGAAATCAGGTGATAAAAATTACGGCAGAAAATAAATAAATAAATAAAAACGCATATAAAATAATCTAATTAATTTTAGGAGCCAACGGCCTTGGTGTCCGAATGGTAGAATCTGTAGGAGCGAAAAGACAAGATGTCGTTTTCGAGATGTCGTGCGACGAGGTGTCAGAGGTCAGGTTTTTTCTTTCGACTCGTGCTGCGTTTTTATTTTTATTACTCTAGACATTATTGATCGAATAGTTGTTTGAGAGTCCTTCAAAACGATTTTTTAGCTAAGTAATTGATACCAAGTTTTTTTCAGCTGTATCCCTGGAAGAACATTCCCCAAGGTATCGTCGATATGGAGCGAGAAGACTGCCATTACTCCCATATGTTTGACCCTATTATCGATGAGGAGAGCCAGTTGTCGTGCGGAAATCGAGAATATTTAGCTGGCATTATTCGAATTGCGGAGACAAAGTAAGTATAAAAAAAAAGTTATTACGTAGAATTTACTTACCTCAAAAAATGCGTACATCCATAAAAATTAAGCATTCGCGCTTAATAATACATGATAACAACGTAATTAGAAAGCTTAAAATAGAAAACAAGATAATAAGCACAGAAAAACCCTATTTTCAGGATCCAAATCATGTGCTGCCGCCTCCGCAGTCGCGAAGAGTTCAACTGCGACGAGCAGGTGTTTAACAAACCGTTGGGCCCGACGAGGAGCACGATTATTGAGTACGTTCCCATACGATTTACACAAAGAAATCCTGATTTTTTAGAAATGACAACATGCTGATCAACTCGATCGCCGTTAAAGATATGCAATATCGTGTCCGATTTTGCGATTTTTCACCCAGGAGTATTGGTGCGTACTTTGCAAAATACCTAAAATTAGTGGAATTTTTAGAAGCCATCTATGAGGATCTGCCTGCGAACAAGAAGAAGGAGTTTTTGGCTTCCACCACGGAGGCGTCGTTGATTCAGCCGGCCGAGTAAGTCCAGAGGCCATTAGAGGAACTAGGGAGGAGGGGGCTGGCCCTTCTGTCGACTAGGTCTCGACAGTTACTCGAGACACCAAAAGATGTTCAAACAGTTTTTCATAGCCGCTAGTAATGTAGCAGATTCGGCTAAAATCACAAGCTATCTCGTGTGGCATTTGGTGCGGGCTGTAGCTGTCGATGCTTAGTGGGATAGAGGTTGAATCCGACAATTCCTGCTCCCCTTAAAATGCTAAAAAGCTGTTTTCAAGCAATTTTGCACATCTTTCAATGAGCATTTTTAGAGAATCCAACGAGCTTGGCGACAACAGCAAACCAAGCCGTAGACTCTGAAATTGAGGATCTAGCGCCGACGACCCCGGTGGCCACCACCACTCCTACGACTACTACCACTACTACTAGCAGACCAGAACCGACCACTACTAGGTATGCTGTTGTTCTCTAATTGTAAGTTCATGTAAATTTCAGGTCCCAGCCGACCCTGTTGCCATCGTCGGGGAGCTCCACTGAGCCTAAGCTTACCCTTATTAGGCTGAACATGGATGGATCTTTTGCTGGAGCTGAGGAGATTACGGCCAAGGTATCCATCTCTCTCGCGCTCTCTATCTCTCTCGCTCTCTCTCGCTCTTTATCTATGTCCTTGTGTCTATCGCTACCAACGAAATTCCAGGAATTCATGGAAACCCCCAACCCGGCCCCCGAGCGAGAGCAAGCCAACTCGGCCTCAAATTCAGTTGAAGACGAGCCGGTCTTGCATCAAAACCAGAAGCCTGAACCCGTCGTCCCGATGGTTGAGATGTCAACGGAGCAACAAGGTACTAGGCCACAAAATTATGCAGATTTTTTGGTTTTCAGATTCGCAAGAGCAACCTCAATTCGTGAAGGGACGCAAGTTTGGTAAGCAAATTTTTATCGCGAGAGAGAGTGAGAGAGAGTGTGAGAGAGAGAGGGAAGAGAGAGAAACGCTGTATTTTCTAGGAAACCGTCCTCATGCTCACGGGCTTCCCTCTTTGCATAGCCAAGGAAAAGCCGTACCACCAATGGTTTCGGATATTCTGAAGTAGGTGATGATCAATTTTAAGATAAGCACCTATGCAAACACTTACTCCTTGATAACCTGGAGCAGTACCGACTCCATTTAACGTAATTCTCCAGGCGAATCGAGTCCGCTTCCAGCGAGAAGGTGAAGACCGAGATTTTCAAGGAGAGCATCGCTCAACTCTTGGGGGAGAGGTTGCCTGAGTTTGAGCAGATGTCTGCGCCAAAGCGAGTCTTGCCGACGACCACTACGACGACGCCGACGACGACGACGACAACCCCAACCACCACCCCGACAACTACGACAAGGACCACGACAACGACTACAAGGGGTACTACGACGACAACCGAGGCACCGACGGTAGGTTGAAGCTTACTTACGCCACTTGATCCCCAGTTTTCTGATCAATTCCGGCCTTTTCTAGACGACAAGGGCACCCACAACTACCACCACAACTACGACCAGGGCACCTACAACTACTACCACCACGACTACTACAGCCGAGCCGGAAACCACCGTCCCGCTCAAGGTGTTCAAGCGGCCGGAGTATCAGGCACCTGAGACCTCGGCTGAAGCTGGAAAGCAGATCGTTGATGTCTCCAAGTAAGCTAGAAGCTGATTTTTACGAGAATATGTATTTTTTTAGGATCACGTTTGCCGATAGCGACTTCCCACAACCACCCAGCAGTGCCGAGCAGGAAGTGGAGCAAACGACGGAGGCTGTGGTAAGTCCCTTTTTAGTTCCGGGTTTCCGAAAGGACATGTTTCTATCAGCTTTTATTTCGTTTGTTGTTTTGAGGCTATCGCTCAAGTCCCGATGTCTTGACTGTTACAGGACGCTCCAAAATACGCGAGAAACTTTCTGTCATTTTGTAAATCTCCTAAACTAAAGACAAGTCAAAAGTCAAGGTTGATACCATGCAGATGAAATAAAAATCCATAAGAATAGCGCCAATACTTCAATTTTTAGCACGTCCCCATCCCAGCCGAACTTCCCCAATCCGCCGACTTCATCATGCTGAAGTCGCTGAAGAAGGGCCCCATCCGGCGGGCACCAATTCGGGCATTCCGCAAGCACGTTGTGAGCATCTATGATTTGGAGGATTAATTTGGCCCTGAGTGAATAGTACCATGATGTAGTATACTAATATTAACACCGTAAATAAGTGAGAAAAATATGATAAATTTCCAGTCTAAACAAAATTTCAAACCTTTTTTCTCCGAAAAATGGCAAAACGCCCGTTTTGTGTTGTGCCTCGGAATTACACTGCTTATTAAATGCAATTATAATTAACGCTATGCTAATTTCCTAATTTCCTATCGTAATCTTTCTAACCCTATCTGTCATTTGTGCAAAGTTCTGTCGGGTATTCATAATTTCATGATTTTATACTGTAGAAATTGTCTGTTCTGCTCTGTGATTTCGTTCCACTCCCTTGTGTTCCCCGCTAATAAAGGTGCTGCTTGGCTTGGTTCAAAACCGCTTTTATTAATGCATCCATAGAAACATATAGACGGGACCCTGGCATGGAGGTACGGTAGCTAGGTGTGGATTAACAGAAATCGAAGCTATCTAGGTGCATTTTAGGATTTATGGTCTGAAGAAGGGGGTGAAGAGCCCAATTTTGCGGATATTTTGGACGCGGAAACTCTGAAATTGGAGAAGGAGGTAGAGAAAAATAAGCAGAAGAAGAAGTTATTGAAGGTAAGCCGAGGGAAGTAGGGCAACTTGCAGAGATCGTTGAGAAAAAGTCGCGTTTTACGAGATTCATTGTGAAAATGTGCTTTTCCAGTTATTTCAAAAGCTTTGTAACAGGAAAAAACAAAATAAATAGCAACGATCAGGAGAAAATAAATTTGTGCATTTTTTAGAAACTGATGGAAGCGTTATCTCTCAGCGACAATTCTGGTGAAGTTTTCGTCCCGGCATCGACTGAAAAGAGCCAGGAGGAAAAGCCGAGGAGAAGAAAAGTAAGCGCGAGAAATATAGCTTCTAACCCAAGTCTAGATCATCCGTAAAATCATCCGCAAAGTCCGGAAAACCACGCCGACACCAACCACGACCACGGAACCGGAACCCGAGTACCTCGTAAGTTAATTTTTCGTGGTTTTAAAGTCCGTATTGCATATTAAAATCTGAGTATTTAGGATCCAGAGCACACAACAACGACTTCTTCACGAGATGATATCGTCAAAAGCTACCAGGAGTTGAAGCTCAAGGAGAATTCGATCGTTTTCCATACCGTAAGCGATTCCCATGCATCGAAAAGTGCTTTAGGCTGATAATGCCAAGCATATCGATGAGGAGACGGAGTACTCACCATTTGACGATGAGGAGGCGGATCAGGTAAAAAACTAAAAAAGCTAGCTCACTCTCCGACTACCCCTCTATCTCACTCCTACTCTCTCTCTTTCTCTCTCTCTCTTTCACTGTATGATTCCATTGCAAAGAGCTATCATTTAACTAGCTCTTTCGCGCTAACCTTACCTTTGTGTTTTTCTCTCGTCCCCTATTTCTCTTGCGGTCGCTATCGCTCTTGCTCCTGCTTATGTGCTTTCTCTGCTCTTACTCGTCTCTCGTCTCTCGTCTCCTCTCACACCCCTCTCTCTCTCTCTCTCTCTCTCTCTCTCTGTCTCCCTCTACCATATTTCTACTTTTAGCCAGCTCCGACACGAAACCCCACGATAGAGCTCGGATTCCAACAGGACATGGACGTGGAAGAAGCCGCTCGTCGTTTAACTGAGAATAAACATGAAATCCGAAGAATGCAGTCTAGTAAGCCACCTCCTTCTAAAGTAATGCTATCTGCAGGGATCACTCCAGCACAACAAAACGAAGGGAAACCGAGGGAAGAGACGGAACCCAGAAAACAACCCGTACGGACGACCACCGAAAAGGCTTCAGAGGAGAAGCCTTCAAAGGAGGAGCTGCAGTTTGAGAACCTGGTATCCGACGAGCCGATCCTATTTCCGGAATTTAATGAGAAAGATGGGGTGACGACAGCGACGATGGAGATGCCGAAGGAAGGTTGGTTAGAGGTTTGATAGAGGCACGTTAATATTTAAATACCTAGAGCTCAATTTTCTCTTAAAGTTTAGGCTCAACTTCCCAGGGTTTAGAAATAACAACGACTACTCCCGTCCCAACGACATCAACAAGGAGGTCAGCGCCTAAGAGGCTGAAAGAAGCTGCAAAACGACATACGACTCCCCAACCGGACTATCCGGACCTTCCGGAAGGTATCGAATTTTAAGGCTATAGTTACTAGCCTGTGTCACCCTCAGAGCTCGTTCCGATGCAAGTCACCAAGAAGTACAAATTCCACAAAAAGAAGCACCCTACTGAATTCTACCCGACGGTTACAACCACTGAGCATGCGACTACGGTATGTGGGAGAGAGATAGAGAAAGAGAGAGAGAGAGTGAGAGAGAGAAATTGCACATTTTAGGAAGCCACAACCACTGAAACCAGCTTCCCTGAACCCACAACTACAGATGCCGATTGGCTAGCTTGGCAGGCTGCCCAGACGACGATGGTTGCGGAGACGACAACTGAAGAATCCGACAACTACGACTTTTCCAAGTACTTCCACACCTTGAGACCGAGGTTGCAGAAGCAGCAGAGATGTGAGTTTGAAAATCGGTTGTTGATCTTTTTATATATAATTTTTTTGTATTTTATCGTATATTTTTCAGATTTAACGTTCTGCACGAAAGATACGGCCCTTCGTGACCGTTCGAATATGGTAATTGCGTGCGGAGACCAAGATGGAGAGTGGTTGGTTTTTCTCGTAACCTTAACGTCTAACCCATCTGAAAATTCATTAACCAACTATATCTTTTTATTTAAGGTACCCCACTCGATGCCCAGAGTCGGCCGGCTGCTTCGACTCCGAAGACGCCACCTACAAAATCTGCTGCAACGTCTCAAACGGATAATTAATTGATCGTCATTTCTACCATTATCATCATACCTCACAGATCTTGTCTGTACATAGCAATAATTAAAATAATAATAATATTTATAGATGTTAATGAATTTGTGGACCTATTCACCACCGTTCCACATGCAATTTGATTTGACTTCAAGAATGCTGACAATACCCCGTAGTGAGAAAATTGTTGCGCCTACTACTGCGTATCCCAGGGTAACCACTAGCCCTGGAAAGGAGCGCGCCGGCCGTTGGCTAAAGTCAGATGGTCGGTGGGGCTAAAATGGATGTGGATGTTCATTATAATGTCAAAACTATTTCTTGTAACTTATTAATATGACTTTTGTTATTCTTAAGGGCTGGCCCTTATCAAAATTTCGATCTTGTGATGAGAAACTACTAAATTGCTTTTGGTTTCAAAGAATCTTTTCGTTTATTCATTTTATATCGTTTTAATCGTTTATTAGAGCAGTGTAAGCTCTCCAAAATGGTGTATTTGAAGAAATTAAAGTAGAGTTTTTACCTAAATGTTGCTCAAACTTGACTGCAGTTATCTTCAGTCTAAAATGCCTTAACCTGCTCCGTCTATAAAGTGTTCCACCCATCCCGCTCTCTTTAATTTACCCTCCACCTGCCACATACCCGTCGTTGGGTCACAACCGTTTCTATTCCAATTACTGGAGGGTGTGTTGAGCTGAGCATGGCGAGAGAGAGAGGAGAGAGAGAGAGAGAGAGAGAGCGAGAGAGACATTGAAAGCTTCCATTTCGAGGGAATGGGTGAGGGTACATCCGAATGCAAATCCGACCAGTCTACGCTCATGCCCGCTCTTTCCAATCCCTGTGATTGCGCAAATGGAAATGGGCGGCTAGCTAGCGGGTAGTATGCCTGGTAGTTGGCTAAAGGGAGCATATAAGCAGCCAAAATACGTCATTTTAAGTAGGTTTTAATTATTAAACTTTTCTGAATTTGTTACTAAATTAAACTTTCTTTTTGTTGCAAAATCGAAAGTAATAATTATCGGAAATTTGCATAATTTGATTGGCTTTATGGCAATTATCATACCATTTAATATACCGGATCCAGAAGTGCTCAAATGTTAAAAAGTTCAGGAAGGCAATAATACAAAGTTGGCCTCAGGAAGAATAATTTGAATCGCACTTCTTCACTTCGTTGTTTTCTTCTGTTTTAATCAAATAGATTTTAATCTCTAAATTTTACTGCCTAAATTCGTGCCTTTTTCGTTTATTTTGTATCAATTCTTGAGGTTAAAGCATTTCTTTCTTTGGTAAAAAATAACCATTTTTAATTTGGAATTTTCAAACTGCTTTGCTTTTGCTTTTCGATTTGAAAACCGGGAGATCCGAAAAATTACATACAAATTGCCGTTTTCTCTGACCGTCTAGAGCCCCCGTTTCTTACACACTCTCTAGCTAGACGCGCTCAAAATGTTCGTGCCTTTTTTGCGGGTGTCAGGGGGGTTGGAAAATTGTCCCGATGCGGGGGTCGATGCTCTCAAAATGGGGACTCACTCCACTCAACGGTCAGCTACTCTATGTACTAACTGGTACTGCGAGGCCATTTCTGGCAGCGGGCATCGTTTTGATTGATTTTAAGGCGTAAACGGCCCGGCTTATTTTATTTGAAAACGGCCCGAAAGTGTAACTAATTTAAACTTTTAAGAATCTCCAAAAAGCTTTGATTTTATCGTGTCATTGGACCATTTTATAGTGTGATTTTAAGACCAGATTTGTTTACTGCCAAGCCGCTAATCCACCCACCCAGCCGGCCCTTCATCTGGGTGCTCCCTAAAATGTGCTGGCGTCGTCGGGTGACCCCTTGACCCCTCAAATCTGGGTACGGGGCCCATTGTTATAACCACCCACCCACTACCACCCGGGACCCATATGGAGCAGCGTTTCCGCTTTTTGGGCTTGTAAGTCTCTCTCACTCTCTCACTCTCTAACACTCACTCGCACTCTCTCTCCCTCACTCTTTCTTTCTCTCTGTCTCTCTCACTCCTCACCCTTCCCTCTCTCCACTCTTCTTTCTCTCTGTCTCTCTCGCTCACTCACTCTCTCACTCACTCTCTCTCATTCTCTCTCCCTCTCTGTCAATCTCTCACTTGCTCTCGCTGTCTCGGTATTTCGTATTTAAATTGATTATGCATGAAATTGAGCTGCTACTACGTATTTTTGAGACTCTGGGTCTCTCTCCCTCAGGTTCTGTCCCTCTCGCTCTCTGGCTTTCTAGCTTTCTCTTTTTCTCTCCACCACTACACACCGACTTAAATTATTTCTGGAGGAAATTAAAACAACCCATTTTTTCCGAATTTCACGTTGCCTACGTTAGAATCCGTACTTCCGGTCACTGCGTAAATTACCTCCTTTCTCTCCACTACCTGGTAGCTGACCATCGATTCATGTTATTCGATCGTATTTCCTCGGCACTGACAGTACGCACCTAGGTGAAGGAGGAGTGCGGCTAGTTGTGTTGCGGGGGCTCAAATTTATTTACCCAAGCCACTCGCCTACCGCGTTCCTGGGCTCACACATTTTGCGGGTAGTAGTGGCTAATATCGAGTATTCGCAATTTAACACCTTCTTATACAACGGTACAGAGCCCAGATAGACCAGTTAGGTATATTTTGAAAGTGCAAATTTTGCAGCTTCTCTAGCGGGCCTGCTGGTCTGAAAATTCTGATTTAAAAATTCTTCAGGTTTCTGTCAATACTTTAGGCATTTATTTTACGCTATCGAATTTTAGAGGATCACCGAGTTTCCCGAAGCCTTACTGGCTTTTTCATATTTTTTACACAGCTTTTCGGCGAGTACAAGCTGCTATTTTCCATCCCAACTCCTTGCCAAAACTTGCTACATCTAGAGGACAGCTCCTTTAACTCCTAAGCCCCTTATTTAGCAATTCATGGCCTTCCATCTTCTTCTCCTTGTCTTTCTCTTCATTCTGCCACTCCTCCACACCGAACTCAACAATTCATGGCTTTCTTGTGCCCACATAGTGTTCCCACCGCACAACCCGGAGCCTTGGGCTTGGTCAGACTTGCAATATTTTGGCGCTCCTAAAAACGCGGCTATAAAATTGTACATCGGAAATTGAGGAAAACCGCGTGAAAACCGTAAAAATGGGTAAGTTATTTAGCGTCTAAATTTTTCAAAGCTCTAAAATGGCCCTTCGGAAACTTCGCAGTGAGCTTTCACGATGCGGATCTGATTGGGGTTGCTGTCTCGCTCCCTTTAGAACTTACAAAATATTTTTTTTGCGAACAACAATTTGTAAGGATTTACCATAGATTTTACCGCCGTCGTGATATGCGACGCGCGCGCTATTTATTATGATATTTAGTGGGAGATTGGAGAGGGAGGTGTTTCTTCTTTTTTTTTTTTTTATTTTTTTTTTTTTTTTTTTAAAATTTTTTTTTATTTTTTTATTTTGATCTACGACACCGGCAGGTCCACCGGGAAGCGTGCGCGTTGCGTATCGCGGCGCTTCGCGGCTCCGTGGTGGATAAAAACCCACAAAAATTGCTGACCCCACGCCAGTCCCTTGTAAAGAATTTTTCCATATTTTTAAAATGAAATAAACAGGCTCATTTGACATTCATTCGCCCTCGATTAGCATGCTGTTTAAGCCCACGGTTCTTCTGTCATATTCCCTTTAAAACGGTCTAAGTACTGGGTGCAGGAACTATGGACCAACCTCTTTTTGCCCCAGCTGTCTGTTATTGCTGGCCAGAGTTTGAGCACCGTCTCAAATTTAACACGGCTCAGATTTCACTTGGCCGTCTCTCTGGGCCCTCACTCCTTCATTCATGAAAGTTATTTGGAGAAGATTCCCGATTCCTTGAGCTTTGACCTCCTGCTCAGCCATTTTTCGGACCAGTAAAGTCGATGTTTAATTTTTCGAACTTATCTGTCCTTCTCTCTCTGTCTGTCTCTCTCCTTCTCATTATCTCCCGCTTTTGAGATCATAGCTCCAAGCTTTTGAAACTTTTTGGTCATGACGTAACGTAACGAATTCCCTAGGATTCCGACCCGGCTTTGGAGTATCGTTGAGAGAGGAGAGAGAGATAGAGAGAGAGTGAGAGGGAGAGGGAGAGAGAGCCAGATCCAAAGCTGGTAATTGCATTCGGAGGCCACAAACACGCAGCATCGGCAGTCTGGAGAGGGAGGACCAGGCTGGTGGAAGAATTCCGGAGCGACAGAATGAAAGAGTAGCCGCTGCCCGCGGGGTCAGACCCAGAAAGTCACAAGTTTTTGGAGCTAGGACTTCATTCTCTCTACGCTCTCTCTCCCTCTCGCTCTCTCCTACTCGCTCTCTCAAGTTGTAAACATGCATTTATCTAAAAAGAGCTAAAAATGCAAGGCATCTGTGGCGAATTCGATTTTTTAAACTTTTGGAATTTCGGCAAGAAGCAACCATCTATCTCATCTCAAGCCAAATAATAGCACCACCTAACTACCCAATCCCAAATCCACCAGAAGCCCATTGTCGGTCCCTTTAAAGGCCTCGTGAAGGCATCAAAGCCAGCGGAATCGGGATGGGGTGTCGTATTCCCTTTAGTGGGCACCCATCCGGGCCCTTCCCCCCTTTGGGTCCTATTGATCCCCCTCCTCCCTTCTGGCCACCACACGGCCATCGACTTCCACCCCTCAGAGGGCCCTCTTCCTCTCTTGCTCCTCTTTTCCAAGGAATTCCGTTTCGATACTCTGCTCCCTCCGGGGCTTGTGCATTCACACCATTTCCTCAGAAAGGAGGGGATGCTCCCTTCTCTCTCTCTCTCTCTCTCTCTCTCTCTCTCTCTCTCTCTCTCCTCTCTCTCTCCCCCTCTTTTGGCCATCGACCCCTATTGTCTCACGCTAAAGCCGCAAATGCCCCACTTCCAAGGCCCCTAACACCCATGTTTGGGACATCCTTCAAGTTGTTCCCGACACTTTTTGGGAGGGTTTTCGAGTTTTTTAGCGTTCGAAACTGGTTTCGAGACTGGT